TATGGCAAGTCACAGGGATTGTTTGATTTTCCAGTGCATATAAAAGTTATGTTTACACTGTATTGTAGTCTATTAAGTTTACATTAGCATATGTCTAAAAAAATGTATATACCTTAATTAAAAATACTTCATTGCTAAAAAAAAAGCTAACCATCATCTGAGCCTGTTGAAAAAATGGTGCCGATAGACTTGCTCGAAGCAGGGTTGCCACAATCTTTCAATTTGTAAAAAATTCAATATTGCGAAGTGCAATAATGAGGTATGCTTGTATGTGGGATCAAATTGCATAGAACTACACACACACACACACACACACACACACACACACATAATGGAGTGAAGGAAAAAGGAAGGAACTGAATAAGGTCTGTAGTCTAGTTAACAGCATTGTACCAGTGTCAATATCCTGGTTTTGACATTATACTAAAGTCATATAAAATGTCACCATTGGGGAAAGCTATGTGAACAATTCAAAGAACTCTATATTTTTGAAATTCCCTGAGTCTATAATCGTTTCAAAAATATATAAGCTTCATTTATCAATTTTTCATGACATTTAATCATAAGTTTGGTGATTGAAAAAGGACAAGAGGATAAAGCAAGGAGGGGCTCTTCAAGTCCTACATCACTGTTGTTAAGAGAATCAGAACACAGAAGTATTTGGTGCCCTGCCAGCTACTATACAGACTGTCTCATTGAAACAGAAGTGCTTTGAAAAACAGCTGTTGGGTTACGTGCTGTCATTTCTTTCTTCAGAAACCATGATTCTCCTCTCTTTTACCTGTAAAATTAAGTCACACTCTTCATCCTGGCATTGAAGATCTCCAACAATATGGCCCCGACTTAACTTTTTGGCTCTGTGTTCCTCTGTTTGTTTATGTGCACCCATTGTTTCAATCCGTTCTCCATACCACAGCCTGAGTTGTCTGTAAAACTCAATTTTGGTGTTTCATGGCACTTGAGGTAAATGTTCAACTCCCTGACCTGGCCATCAAGACCCATGGACTCTGGCCCCTGCCTCCTTCTCCAAGCCATAGCTTCCCACTCTCCTCCCCACTCTCCATGCCCAGACACGTGACCTTGTCCTCAGCCTCCTCCTTGCTGTGGTCCTTCCCACCACAGGGCCTTGAGCATGTTGCCTTCTTTGCTTGAACCTCTTTCTTTCCCATCCAGTCCTCTACTCCTCTTTCAGATCTCAGCTCAATCATCTGTTTTTTAGGGAAATCTCCAACCTCCAAGTTTAGGCCAGGTTGTTTTTACAAATGTTCTCATAGAACTGCATTGCTTTCTTTTAGAACACTTATCCCCAGTTATAATGATATATCCATTCATTTGGTTATTTGACCAAAGGCTGTCTTCCCCATTTGACTGGAAACTCCATGAGAATACAGACAGTATCTATTTTTGCTCACAAGTGTGTTCACCACCTAATACACTGTATTAAGCATACAAGGATTCAGTAATTTTTTTTTAAGTGACTGGATGAATCACACTGGAATAACTGTTCTCCAACCATATTCCTCAGGTTTCCTGTCCCCAAGGTTCAATCATGCTCTTCACTGCAGGTGCAAAACTATAGTCACATTTTATCCTCTCTATATTTTACCCCATTGTATAAACTTGCTAAATGGGTCCTTCCTTGCCTTGGAAAATAAACCTCATTTCTGCCTCCTTTGAAAACTGTAGCACTTAGGTGTCTGTTCTCTTGCAATATGTGGTGTTATTATCATAGACTGTGCCTCTTATCCCCTTTACAAGTTCATAAGCTCCTGGAGTGCAAGATTGATTCATTTCTCTTTATATCACCTGTGATAACATATTTTCCAGATTCTTAATTAATATATTTTCCTTATTGATAAATAAGCACAAAAACTAAAAACTGAGTACATAGTATGTGCTCAATTAATATTTATAGACACAGGGAAAACCATTAAAGGTCCTTGTTTGTTATACCGATTTGCAATGAGTAAACAGAATCAAATTACTAAACAGTACTACAGGCATGGTTTCCTGAGCAAATGCCTTCTGTTCTGACCATTTATTATTATTTTTTATTTTTTAATTTTTTTAGCTGAGCCAACCTGCCAGCTGTTGGCAGCTCAGCTCGGGCTGGGACTCGAACTGCTGTTGCTCAGAGCTTGCACTCTTGAGCAAGCTCTAACCAACTGAGCCACTCGGTCCATTTATTATTTTTTAATAGGTTTATTTGTTATAGCTGGCAAATGGTTCTAGAACTGTGAGACTCAGCTTGCTTTTTCACTTCCCCCTATCCTTTACTCCAGAAGTTACAATGAAAACCTATTGATATTTTAGTGGAATTATTATTTTCTTGTCTTTCTACAGAATGAAAATAAACTTTTCATAGAATGCAGTATTAAATAGGGTGTCAAACAGCTAATTTGAGCAACGTGTCTGAGTGGATTAGTGGTGGTATATAACATGGATTGAACTAAACACCTGAGGACCAGGGAACCAGTTGTTAAGAATAAATTATCACTGTTAACAACAGCAACAAACTGAAGAATTGAAAAAAAAATTTTTAAACCTGTAGGACTTAAGAAACTAGCAATCGGTTGTGACTTTTCAGTGCTTAACAGAAAAAAACAAAAGTCAACTGTATTTCCACAGAGGGAAGTCTCCTACTCATTCTCCCCTAGGTCCACTTATGATTTTTTTTTTAAGATTTTTATTGGGAAATTGGGGGGATTGGAACAGCGCTGGGGAATTGGGGGAAGGGGAACAGACAAGTTGCTGTCGTTTTGTTCTTCGGTTTAGTTGTGGAGGACGCTGCTTCACTGGCCCAAGTTGGCACCATCATTGCCCTGTTCCCGGGTAAGGCAGATCAATTGCCGGCTTCTGGACGGCTGCTCACAGCGGCTGCTGCCTACACACGGTAGCCCATGGCAACCCACTGCCACAGGGGCTGCAGCCTACGCCATTGCCAGCAACTCACAGCAGCCCAGCTCCAGGTTGAGCTGTTGTTCAGCATCTTAGCTGTAGAGGGCAGTGTCACTGGCCCTCATATGTGGGATCCGAACCGGGGCCCTCTGGCATCCCAAGCCAGTTCTTAACCATCGCGCCACTCGGCCGGCCCCCACTTATTATTTTTGACTCTGGACTAATGGGTCCAGTTCTGCCATGAAGCTAGCTTTCCTCCCTTCCTTCTCCCACCATATCTGTATAGACATTCTGGAAGCCTCTACATTTAGGTAGAGAACTGCTGGGAATTTCTGTGTCCCCAAATACTGGAAATCAATGCAATTTAATTAACTTCTTTGAACATTTGTTGAATACCTAGTATGTGCTGGATTGTCTACTAGGTATTAGAGATTCAAAGGTGAATAAGAAATTATCCTTGCTGTGAAAGAACTCCCAGTTTGGTGGAGTAGACAGGGATATTCAACCATCATTCTTAGGTAAAACAAGTTGTAGAGACAGAGCTGAAAAACCAGGTGCCATGGAAGCACAGGAGAGAGAGACAGCTGTTGCCATGGCGGGGCTCCTGAAGTGAGGTGGGTGCTAAGCTGGTGTATGCGGCAGCACTGTGGTTCTTCTCCCAGCATCCATCCCTCTCACCTCGCCCTCAGTGGGTGACAGATATGTGATTGGGTGGGATGGATCTCACCCTGACTCTAGGAGTGAGTGCTGACTGATGAGCCTGTGATGCTCAACCAGAGATGGTACCTCTCTGCTAGAGGGCATTTAGAAATCCATGAAAACACTGTTGGTTGTTTCAAAGGCTAAAAGAGATGCTTTTGGCATTTAGTGGGCAGAGACTAGGAATGTTAAATGACAAGTGAAGTAGAAAGGGACCCACATCATGAAAAATTGTCCCACCCAAAGTGCCAGTAGTAGTTCTATTGAGAAACATTTGTCTAAGCTAGTCAGCTCATCCCGCATTAGTTCAGGGGGTCCAGATCTATCCAATTAGCTCACAGCAATCCCCTGCCATTAGTGTGGTCCAATCAGAATAGAGCTCCAGAAGTCTCTTTAATGGTTGTGGGTAAGCATTCTTTCTGTCTCTCATTGGGCATGCAGGAAGAAGCCTGTAGCCCCATCTAAATCTTGTTTAGAGAGCTCCCTATTCAACCTATATAATCTAAATTTATTCAGGTGGTTTGTTTGCTTGTTTGTTTCTCCATTTTTGTTACTGTTGTTTCTAAGGAAATCATTAGGATGGCAGAAATGTTGTTGAAGTATCAAATCTAAGTAATATCGAATATGCAAACAATGCTTTGTTTTCATCCTGGAGCTTCAGAATGAGTATAAATTTATAATATTGCCATAAAAAGAGAAACAAGGGTGAAACAAAAATACTCAAGCTTATTTATGGTATTAATATAATGAGGAATATAAGTGGTGTCTGGTGGAAATTGTAAAAATCTAAGTTAAACTTGCAATTGTGTGCATGCGTGTATGTGCACACACATGTGTGTGTAGAAGTACACATGAAGTACTTCTACACACACATGTGTAGAAGTAAAAGTGAGAGGAAGGGAGAACGCAGGGGCTATCTTCATGCATAACACATTTTAGGAATTTAAATCTTGTCCCTTCAGGAAAAACTCTGTACCTTTAGGTTGCAAAATCTCTACATTAAAGAAAGCTAAAAGAAAAGATTATTAAGCACTTTGATTACTTAATCAGAGTCCATGAACACATTCTGAAATGTTAAAAGTTGAGATTAAAATAGATTATTTTTATGCTTATTAATCATTCTCCCACTAACATAAAGTTAGTATTCATCACTACAAATTATTTTTCTACCTAATCAGTGGTTACTATGGTGTATTAAGAATGAAGCAGAAAAAAGATGTCCAATTACACTTGAATTAGGAAAAATTAATAAGTCACAGAAATAAAGTCCAAGTTAATTTTTGTACAGCCAATTTTCCTCTTGTTGAAAAATTTGTAGAGTAGTATGCAGATTCACATTTGACTCAACTGAAATTAAACTGCATCTGGAAATTGAGAAAGTTGAGAAGGAGAGCCATCAGTACCTGGATACTGGTCAGAGTTGTGTACTGATAGGCCTTGACCACCAGGTAATTTGCTTCCAGGTCTATGAGTCCGAGGATCATATACTTCCACCATCTTCGTCGTAAAATTGCCAGGAGGTTTTCTTCTCCTGTGTTACAAAGTTGAGAAGAAATGGGTTAGGTTCTGAACAAATAATAAACTGTATATGTAGAAGGATTCTAAAAAGTTTAATTAAACAAATGAATCAACATGTCAAAGACTGAAATGTTTTTACTTAGCTAATAGTCTTCACTGTAGATTTGGCCCTTCAAATTGGTTTCTATGGCAGAATAAGTCTGGGCAGGTTTCTAGTTTACCATAAAAACATTTTCTCAAGAACATTTGAAGAAGACAAATTACATCACGCTAAAATAAAAGGAAAGGTGGGCCAGAAAGGCTGCATAAACACACAAAGTCAAAATCATTCTAAACTTTGGGACTGTGGTAAAATAGATAGAAATGGAAAGAGGGCAGCCCAATGAACCAAGGGTTATGCTTGGCAGCAGATCTATAGTAAGGCTCCAAGATGCCATCCTGTGTGCTTGTTCAGCTTTGAACATGATACACTTTGAATATTACACTCTGGTAGGTGTGGGTGATGGAAGAGGCAGGAATTTGGGGATCACTCTCAGAGGGAAGAGACCATATGCCATCAGACCAGGGTCTTAATACAGCCAGCAACTGTAATCTTCACCATCTTGCCTCTTAAACTGATAGCATCAGGACAGACTTCAAATCTCTTAGCTCTTAACCTTATTTTTTACATATTTCAGGCCTGAAATAAACCTTATATCTCAAGGGGCAATCATCGTTATTAATAATAATTGCTCTCTGGAGCCAACCTGTGAGGTCTTCATAGGCAATGTGGAATACAAAGAAATCTTAAGTGAATGGTGACTGTATTCATTATCTATTGCTGCATAACAGATTATCCCATAACATAATCGCTTAAAACAACAAATATTTACAACAAATATTTATTATCTAATAGTCTTTGTGGGTCAAGAATCTGAATTGTCTCTGGTTCAAGTTCTCTAAATTAAGTTGCAGTCAAGTTGTCAGCCATGGATGTAGCCTCATCTAAAGGATTGGCTGGGGAGGGATCTGCTTCTCATAGAGAGATCAAGAGCAAGAGAGAACAAGAGCGAGTGAGAGCGACAGCGAGAGAGAGAGAGACAGAGACAGAGAGAGACAGAGAGAGACAGAGAGAGAGCGATAGTGAGAGACAGAGAGAGACAGAGAGAGAAAGAAATCAAGATGGAAACCATAGTCTCTCTTATAACCTAATATCAGAAATGACACTTCTACCCTATTCTATTCTTTAGAAGAAAGTCAATAAGTCCAGCCCACACTGAGTGGAGAGAATTTCATAAGGGTGTGGTGTCCTTACTAGGAGGCAGGGCTCATTGGAGGCCATCTTAGAGGCTGGCTGCCTAGTGCCACACACCTTTAGTACTATGGCTGTGATTTAGCTGGTCCTCAAGAACCTCAACAGATTCCACATCCCCATCTGTCTCTGGGCCACTCTCAGAGCTCTCAACTCTTGATTCCTGCCTTTTGTTTTATTCCAAAGACTATCATATAGGTGGGCTTTTTAACCTTATGGAGACTTGTGAAAATGAAGCTTTCCAGTTACACAGAGCATGACAGAGTGGGTTGTGGCTAGTTGGCAACAATGGGGGAGAGGTCTCTCCATCTTTGGTAGCTATCCCAGTTTTGTAGCCTCATTTTCATTGCCACAGTCCTCATATCCTTTGCTCCAGGGACACTAAAATCTTTCTATCTCATTGCACAGAACTGCTAACTCCTGTTCATCATTCAAAATTTAGCTATTCTCTGATATTTTGCCTGACACCACTCCCCAACTGAGCAATGTGTACTTGGCTCTGTATAGTCCTGTCATATGATTGTGACTATTTAGAAATTGTCTCATTACTAAACTGGGAGTTTCTGGATGGTACAACATCAAATGGCATATATATATATATATATATATATATATATATATATATATATATATATATA